CAGGGGTACCGCCGGCTTGCACCCGCCCTCCTGCCCACCCAATCTCTCCAAATGAGGAAATCCCTACCGCCCACCTGGAATCCTGAAACGCCCACTAGTGGGCGGTAGGGACCAGGTTGATGACCCATGAATTAGACCATGGGTCGTCAACCTGATCCCTACCGCCCACTAGTGGGCGTTTCAGGATTCCAGGTGGGCGGTAGGGATTTCCTCGTTTTGAGAGACTGGGCAGACGGGTGGGAGCCGGTGGTACCCCTGTGACCGGATACCGCTGTCACCATTTGCGGCCCGTGTGTGTGTGTTTTTTGTGTGTGTGTCTGTATGTATGTGTACCTGTCTGTTATAGTGGGCTATAGTAAGTGGGCTACCTAGCTCAGCCTTCCTACTGGGCATTGCTAAAAGTAAGGTTAAAAAAATAGAAAAAAGGGGAAAAAAAGGTGGGGAGGGGAATTGAGGAGGGAGAGGAGGGGAGCTGATGCACAGATGAGAAATCATATTATGCGCAAACAGAGAAGTCATCTGAATATCACAGAAAGAGGAGACCTTCGTTTGTTCCTTACGAAGATCAAACCAGATAGCAAATATTTAGTCTCGCAGCATCAACCTCAAGGATCTCATTAATCACTAGTAAAGGTAATTTCAATTTACTTTATTGTTTTCTCATTAAACTTTATAAAGTTAAAATCATTATAAACATGCATTAAGTAGAAAAAAAAAAAGACAAATGTACGTACATTTTTAAATTTTTTTTAAAAACCCTCCTTTCTAAAAAATATTCTGCACTTGCGCGGAAACTGGTGGGCGGTAAGGAAATTTTTCCATCAAGAAAGATGCATTAGTGGGCGGTAGGTAGAAAAAGGTTGACTACCACTGGATTAGACAGAAAAATAGATAAATAGATCGATAGATAGATAGATAGATAGAACTGAAGGACTACAGATAATTAGCAACTTATTTTCTATTCAATCGCAGTGCGGAGCCCATCTGGGGCACATCTTTGACAATGAACCTCACCCTACTGGTAAAATATACTTTATAAACTCTGCATCAATCAGTTTTGTACAAGAGGGTCCAGGAAATCTGAAAATCATATCTTCACCTTTAGCTAAAAAGAATGAAGCATGACAAATTATCAGTGTGGCTGACAAATATTGTTTTATAAACTCCAGATTAAGTCCCAGTTTTTGCCACAATGTTCTGGTTTCATAATGGCACTTATAGACTTATAGCTTTTATCAAATGAACACTCCTTATTCATCCACCATCACTGAAAGCTCATATAAGCTTTAACATTTTTCAGACTAAGCAAAAAAAAAAAAAAATGCAGTTGAAATGAAAAAAATAAATAAATTGCAAAGTGATTAAAAAATGTAACAACTTTTGGAGAGCATATACGTCAAATGTATAATTCCTGGTAATGGTATGAATAAATCATTACCCATTTAATATCATATATAATATGAGGTCATTTACCTGGTAATAAACCCCCCATAAATTAATAGACATTTAAGGTATCAGTGTACTAAGGATGTATAACGCCATTTTATTTAGTAATTTGGGGGTTTGCTAATGTATGCTTGCGTGAGGAAATTATATTTAAAAACATTATTGTATAAGAATATCACACTTACTGTCACATATATTGCAGATGTAATGACAGAAAACACTTGTGAACAGTTAGTCAATGATCTCGCTACTGGCTGCATCTTTAATCTTATCTCCATCATTGCAACCTTTGTAACAGTGAAGGAGGATATCGTGTTTTTATGTTATTCCTGCGGAATCATATCCATTATTGGATTGGAAAGGAGAAAATCATTTGTGGTTGAACCAAAACCGTTTGATTACTTTTAACCCTTCTTTGCAACATTGTCAGTTTTCTCCTTTGAGTCAGTAGGCGATAAACAGCCTAAACTAGAGTCATTAATGATAAAGACAGGTTTTAAATATCCTAAATCAAGTTAGAAGATTCATTAATATTAAACCTTACCCATGACCATGAGGTTGCTCATCCATCCATCATGTTTAAAAGGCCTTTAACCAAGCCAAAAGTCTCATTAAAGAAAACACTGAATAATGAATTAACCACTCTCGAAGCCTCCTCTATTTACCACAGTAGGAGCCTAATTAGAAAGCCCTCTCTAGACTATTAGTAATAGACACTCACAAAGCCTCCTTATCCAGGAAGCTCAATAATGTTTAATTATTCAGAAAAACTGACAGCTTCTAACTGGTTAATATAAAAAGGATTATGGAACTCACCGGCGCCTGAAGGTAAACCCAACCCTTAAACTGACCAGTTTCTCATGCTCTCTGTTGGGCAGGAAAAGTAGATGGATACTTATCATTATCATCCAAATTCAAAGGCTGCAGGGTATCCACATCCCTTTTAATATGACCTAGGAGGTACGTTATGCACCAATGTTTTAGAAAGAAATGCTAGGGGCTATTCAGATTTTAAATAAGATACTCGTATGACTCCAAAAGGTTTTTTAAAAAAAACATGTTTATATGCACTATAAAATGTTAATCTGTTTATAGCACCCTTTGTAGTACAACACAATCAGAAGATTATTAGGTCAGCCTATTGATATATCTTTTGATATTTATTCGGAATAAAAATGTATACAGTATTATTAAAAGCCTTAATAGCTTTAGATTCAGTGATTTTTGTAACAGAGAACACATCAGTACACATTTATGACTTATATCCCATTTCCAATATCACTTCTAATATATATTTTTTTGGTAATTTAAACATTTCCCACTAAACAGACCGAAGATTTAGTTTTTTGATTCTGGAATTCTAGAACCAAATAATTGACATTTTTAAATATCTAGTATAATTTGTTCTACAATAATAAGATATTGACCTCAGCTCTAAAAACAAAATGTGGATGAATCCCTGTGCCATCTTCCTTTTCTTCAACTCGTATATCAATTTAAAATAAAAAGGAATACACCCAGAAACAGAAGGATAGAAACATTCTGTGCACAGAGAATTGTTGTGTGTGACCACTTATAAAATTGTATTCTCTGTGTGCAAGTAATTAAACATATACGCTCAGATTTATGAAAGTTTCTCTTGCCCATAAAGTCTCAGCACCATACAATGCACTAGACAATTTTAGGGTAGTTTGAACTGTACCAATATGTATAATGCAGGAATTCCTTTAACAAAACAAAACTGTGACTAGAACCCTATGGTTAGTTAGGAACCTTAAAATCAATCTTACGTGTGTGTCATGTTTTAAAGTCACATTTAACTTTATTGAGGATAATCAAATAAGTGAATGAAAATAAAATAAATTAATAAAGTTGACGGAAGAAAAGTAAATATCTTGAGAAAAATATATGTTTGGTGAAATACACCTAGAATATTTTTTAATTTCATTGTAACTTGCAGAGCTTCTAACAGTTCAGTTTAGAACTATTGTACATGCAATCTGGTTACTTATTTTTTAAATACTTGTCCAGATTACTGCTTTTCCTGTCCTGCGAGTTTTAATAGATCATCATAGTATTTACCAAATAGATCACTAGCCTTTAATTGGAATAGTTTTGACGTTTTGAAACTAGGCAATGTTTATGTAGCTAATTCAACATGATTATAGCACATACTATGCAATAAAGCAGTGTATTTTCCAGAATTTTTTTAAAATTAAAATAATATATTTTAATGTGGAAATGTTGATACACATGCATGTGATTATTAATTTTATTTAAAAAAATGGATGGGTTTTGAACTAAAGGTATCTTGTTAGATAACTTTTTATACACCTGCTCTATTAATCTTTCTACACATTTAACTTATACTAAGCTTGTTAAAAGTAAATTACGTTCTGCCATAAAACTGTTTTGCTATTGAGAGAGAAATATGACCTGTAGTTAAAAAAAAAGTATAAAAATGTTACAATTTTCCTTCCACTCGTATGCGTTTTTTTTTCTTTCTCGTTCTTGTGTTATACAATCTATCTGCTTATCTGTGCAATTCACTCATTTATGGTTTAAAACATTAGTATGTTTTAGTTTGGTAGACCACCAGTGAGTTTGGCACAGAAATGTCAGGTACTCAGGAGTGTAATTAATGTGAAAATATTCCATCATAAGCTTTTAATTAAGCTATAGGATGTTAACCATGAAATAGTAACGATAACAGTGATGAACAAAATATATCTTTGTGAAAGATTAATCTCCTCTTACAGTAATCTTTTACAGTTGTATTGATATGAATCTTAGGCTTAGGGATGATTTAGAAACTATATATTATACATACACATCAGATAGATAGACAGACAGGCAGATGAGAGGATACTTTTGGAGAGACGACATAAGCACCAAAACCATTATAAATTTCTGTGCATAGATGCTGCCTCTTTTTTTTGTTTGTTCAGAAACCAGACAGATATCCACTATTATTATGTAATTATTATTATGATATTATTTATATAGCGCCCAAAAATTCTGCAGTGCTTTACAGTGGGTATACTATAGGCGCTTCCTATGATTTCCAAAGGTCTTCGCAGTCGGGAGCATCATCTATGGCACGATGTTGCCAAACACCACTAATTCTTCTAATAAGGAAAGATTGGATTTAATTACATACATCTTTATGAGAAGCATAACTGAATATCTTACATAACTGGAATAGCTGCAGAGATGAGACTGGGCATGAGGTGGATTACAGGTAAGGTTACTGAATCCCTATGTCTGAATACAAAATTGGGTTCCCATGCTGTTTTATTGGACCTTCACTGGTTGAAACAGGCACATTATGAACTCAATTTAATATTACATGATAAGCTTTTAAACTGATTATATTTTATTTTGCAGGGGGGAGGAGGTTAAACATTAAATATATATATTTTTTAAAATATTAAAATATATCATTTAAAAAAATCTAAATATCAAACACTAGCTAAATATTACAAAATTAAAATATTTTTCATGAAATAAACCATATTAAAGGGACACTATAGTCACCTGAACAACTTTAGCTTAATGAAGCAGTTTTGGTGTATAGAACATGCCCCTGCAACCTCACTGCTCAATCCTCTGCCATTTAGGAGTTAAATCCCTTTGTTTGTGAACCCTAGTCACACCTCCCTGCATGTGACTTGCACAGCCTTCCATAAACACTTCCTGTAAAGAGAGCCCTATTTAGGCTTTCTTTATTGCAAGTTCTGTTTAATAAAGATTTTCTTATCCCCTGCTATGTTAATAGCTTGCTAGACCCTGCAAGAGCCTCCTGTATGTGATTAAAGTTCAATTTAGAGATTGAGATACAATTATTTAAGGTAAATTACATCTGTTTGAAAGTGAAACCAGTTTTTTTTTCATGCAGGCTCTGTCAATCATAGCCAGGGGAGGTGTGGCTAGGGCTGCATAAACAGAAACAAAGTGATTTAAATGACAGTGAATTGAGCAGTGAAATTGCAGGGTAATGATCTATACACTAAAACTGCTTTATTTAGCTAAAGTAATTTAGGTGACTATAGTGTTCCTTTAAAGTTTATCCAAAATATTACATTATTTGAAAAGGTTATTTATTAAGCCATATACTATCAAGACTCCAGGCAACTCCCAACAATAAACTGTTTGCAGTATTGTTTCTTCATTTTTCAGTGCAATGGAAATTCCTCCAACAATACGAAAAGTCTAGTATAGGTGTTATGTATATTTCGTTTTAGGTGATATTGTAATTTTCCATTTGAAAAGTGGATTTCCAAGCTAAGACCATATTCATATTTGGGTGTACATAAGACCATGTACATAATTTAAGCACCACTGCTTTCAAATAACTGTACAATTAGTAATTTCTTAGCTTTTAATTACAACAGTGTTAAAGGAAAAAAAACTTTATGAAATAGATAACATTTATATTAAAAAAAAAAAAAACACCTAATGTTTTTAGTGAAAAGCTGGACTCGATCTTAGGTTTTTAAGAACAGTGTAAATTAATTGTTCGTAGTGTAATTTGCAATACTTCTCTATTTAATGTGTCTCTATATAGGTTGGGGTTTCCAAGTACTGTATCTGGTGCATTAAACTGAGATAATCAGGCTTGTGAGAATTTAGTTATTTAAAGTTTCTTGTTTTTCTGTAGTTTTGGTTTATACAATATTTTTTCATAGCATCAAAATTGATGTTCCTCAATGGTATTTCTATGTATTAGGTGTAAAGATAATGAAATGATTAGCATTTTTTTCTTTGTATTTGTTTTTTATTATATTTTAACAGCTTGCCTGTTGTCCACGCCAACATACATTATCCAGTATAAAATGAGTCGTATATCTGTGCAAATCATATCAAAATCATTTCACTCAGAAAGTAATTCCTCCCAGTCTACTTTCATTCATCTACTTTTTGGCTACACAGCAATAGTAAGCTCAAGGTCAAAATTGTGGGAAGGGCTCACATTCTCCTGTTAATACATTACAGTAGCTCTTCTGATTGGACCAGGTGGGCTATCCTCCACTTCCCATGTGCATCAATGATGCATGGGCACCAATGACCCTGACCCCGGTTCACCGGTTGTCTTTACTTGTATCACTTTTGGTACCACTACATACTAGGAACACCCCACAAAATTTGCAGTTTTGGAGATGCTTGTCATTATCACTCAGATCTTTTCACATGCCCATTTTTTCTGCTTCCAACACATGAATTTCAAGAACTGACTGTTCACTTACTGCCTGATATATATCACACCCATTGACAGGCGTCATTGTAATGCAATCAATGTATTCACTTCACCTGTCAGTGGTTTTAATGTTGTGGCTGATCAGTGTATGCTTTCTTAAAATTGAACTTAAACAGAAGGTATAAGATCAATTAGGGACTATTTTGTCTGATATTCACATTGAAATTTAAAGTATATCTCCTATCCCACTCTGCTAGGTGCCGTCTCCGTGTAAGAGGTTATGTCCCATGTCTGGCTTTAAAAAAAAATTAAATCAAAAGATCTCGCCACTATCATTTTTAATGACTAGTTAGTGTCTATTATTATTATCTGTTGGTATTGCCGTTTGACTAAACTTCAAACGTGGTGTGCCTATGTGATCACAGTTTATTGGTGTGTGGCCTGACAGCTAATTACTGTAAGTTGGAAACACAAGACTAGGACAACAGGAAGAAGGAAAGAACAGACACACAGACAATTTAGAAGACAGATGGGGAAGTGTGTCTGGGACAAACGTGCTCAGACTCTTGTCTCAAGGGAATAAAGAGGACAACTTAAGCAGACTGTGAATTTCCTCAGCTGGTCTGGCCATTTCCCCTATGATAGTGGTGCATTCTAAATATCTACTTGAAGCAATGTACGTTTATTAGTAGAAATCCACTTAGGCTCACAAAATGTGAACCAAAAAAAAGCTAAATAAATTTAATCCAACTGAGATTTACATGATTATATTGATGGGAATGCTGTCTAAAACAGACAATATCACTGATTATTGTTTATATATCATCATTATATTAATACATGATTTAACATTATTATTTATTATTAATTATTATTATTATTATTATTATAAAGTAGAATGGAGTTGCTATGGAATAATAAGCAGGGCATCCTATTCTGTTATAATTTATCTAGGGACAAGATTGTGATTAAGTACTTAAGGAGTTACATTATCACATAAGAAATATGAGTTGAACTTAAGATATGTTTTCTTCAAACACTGACTTAAATTGATGTGGCCATTTCCACTAAATTGAATTCACACTAGCATTAAGAAAGCTTCATGCGGTGATTATTTTGGTTGTCGTATTTTGCTGTCTGATATTAGATACTATTTTTGCCATGACTAATTTAGTTCTGGAATTGGCCAGATCAGTGGTTTTCTGGTTAAGAACTGTAGAATCCCATGTAGTGTAATTTATATGCATAAAAATCCTTGTCTTATTAAAACGTGTTGCATTGTTCTGTCTTTCTTACATAATTCTAACTCATGTATTTCTTTCTTTCTTTAATTTTTGTCTAAACAATATCATCAATGAGATGATACAGAACTGGTCGGGAAGATTAGAAAACACCAATTTTGCGGCCAGCATCATTTTGAATTAATTAAAACTGTTCAGAGAGATGGTAGCAGGACAAATTGAGGTGTGGAACACAACTGCAGAAAAATGTGAAAAATAAAATAAAAAATAATAATTGACAAATATTTCTTTTAATATTGCTAATGATAACAGAGATTGAAGGAATTGAGCTACTCAAGGGTTCTTGAAGAGTTTTTTTTCTGGATGTGTTACCTTAGAGTAATGGGAGTGGTAAAATCTAGGAGACTGGTGGCTGGAGATGTAATGCAGTAATGATGAATGGAGGTCCGACTTCAACACATATGATGAAACATGGGATTTTGAGGAATAATTGGCTGTCAGGAAGACGGTTTCTATACTGGTATGCAGTGAAGTTTGTAAGTGTGACTTAATCAGAGGATAAGGTAAAGGTCTGGAACACGGTGAAACAATCTGTAGCTCAGTTTGCAACTGGCATGGTTTTTCCCCATCTCTGCAGATTTCCAGGCATGGCCACCACTTTGGGAGATCAGGCTGGACTTGAACTCATCATTTCTGGTCATTTGCACTACCTGTGAGCCACTGCAGTTTGACTTCTGTCAGCCTTTTTTGCAGTTTAACCTGCATCTCTGTGGGGCTGGACTCCTGCTTACTCACCTGCAACTATTTGCCTCATCTGTTGCTCTTTTATTGGCTTTAAAGCATGCCTCACATAAACTTCAGTTCAGTTAGTCAACTCCTACAGCCAGGCAGCACAGGGCACCCGCTGGGCATTCATCAAAAGCGACTGCAGAGTTGGTGCTTAGGGCAGTGTCCCCTTGTAGGCCCCTCTTGCAGGAATCTCAGGCAGTACGATACGGACCACACAGTAGGATAGTCTGCCCGTCCGCCGCCAACTCAGAAGGAGAGCGACCCACCTCCGCACGTCATACCTCCGGCAAGTAGAGCTGATGCGTCCTCACCCCCAGACCATGCCAGAGTCTGCCGCACATGGCATCAAAAGCCGTCTCCAACTGCTGCTACTTGGCCTCCAACAAGAGCTTGGGTACAGGAGTGTCGGCCACCTTGTGCTTGAAGCTGCCCTGCACATTCGTGGCCGGCGTTGGGTCCAGAATCCTGGGCTTGCCTGCCATTCCAGTGTGAGGGGGGCTAACGGGGCTCCAACAGGACTCTTCAATAGAATCAGCGGCTCCAGGGCAGGAGATCGGCCGCATGCCCCACCTCCTGGGTCCACCAGGCCTCAAAGGCCTCATCCCAGGCTCAGTGTCTTAGAGATCCAGTAAAGCTCAATTATGGAGCAAGGGGTTCCTCCACCACGTAGACAGGTAAGTTCTTGCTTAACTGCAATATCAAGGCTTAAAATAGCAATTTAATCTGTACATTCAAGATTTGGTGAGGAGCCCAGCTCAGACACGTCTGCTCAGCCTAACTGCCAGGCTCCTCCCCCTGTATATCCTTTTTAAAGAAAAATTCAAACACATAAACATGAACCTGTGACAGCAAGATTATTATTATTTATTAAGCACCAATAAATTCCTTAGCGCTGTACAATGGGTGGATTAACAGACATGTAATTGTAACCAGACGACTTGGACACACAGGAATAAAGAAATTGAGGTCCCTGCTCAATGAGCTTACATGATTTTAGAGGGAGTAAGTTAAATTAAGCATCTATGGGTGGACTGAGTGATATTCTTAAGGAAATATGTTTGTCATTACAAAAGTATAATATTAATTATACTATACATGTTACAATTGAATTAAGATTTAAAGGGTCACCCAATGGCTCATCATAACTTGCATCATTGCAAAAATGATGGTGCATACAGAACCAAAAGCCTATTCTCTATTGTAAGAGTGACTTAGAACTGCAGCAATTTGTAAACTTAGTTTCTTACAGCTGTAAGCAAGCCCCTTAGATCTATCACTCAGAGAGTTAGATGCTTTGTTCCAACTGCAAAATGTCAATTTTGTCCAAGGTTTGTCCCAGTTCTGGATTGCAGTACATTTTATTGTGTTTTTTTTTTCTTTTAACTTAAAAGGGGGTCTGACCCTAAAGAAAGCAGTGAACACTCTGAAGTTAAAACTGGCATCACATGAGGAAGCTACTCTTTCTCCTCTGTTCATGATTTGCAAATTTCCATCTCCCCTGATCATCCAAAGCTTGCTGAAGTATAAACATCAACTGTATCTGACATCTCCACTTACAAGCCTTTAACTAGAGCTGTCAGCAAGCTGATAGCAGCTCCATTCAGTTTATACACAAAGTCTAGCCATCCAATGTAGTTTATCATTTGGCGATTCTATTTGTCCCATGTCCCAC